CGCTGCATCCTTGTATTCTGTAGCAGATCTAAGGTGCGGCAGTAAAACTTGCTCATAGCTTGTAGCAATTAGTCTTGAGATGAGCTGAATCAGTGCAAGATAAATTGGTGCACATAAAAACTCTCCATAAAGGAGCTGTCAGGGCGTCTACCAGTCTGAAAAACAGAAAGCCTGGAATTGAATTTTCGGGGATTTGGTGAGTGGAAAATTTAGGGTTTCTATCCCAGTCAGCGTCGGACAGGGAAATTAACCTTTTCCTTATTTGGGTGCCTGCAGACAATGCTTGTGTGGTGTGACGCACGTGCACGCAACTACGTCGGCGTGCCGATGCCAATATCTGCTCAGAAACCAGAGTCTGGACGGAACCTAATCACATCCTCTTGAAATACACACACACCAAGACAAATTTCTCTTTTGCACGTGCTAACATGGTTGTCCAGTTTATTTTCAATGAGGCAATCTATTCGGCGAGAAATATCAAAGAATAGGCTTGCAGGGTAGTTTAATCGTAATTTGCCGCTGCCCTGTCGGTTGTCAGATATACTGGTCTTTTCCATATAAAAACCGCCCTTCAGGAATATCCTGTCCTCTTAGGGGTTAGTCATGAAAGTTTAATGAAGTAGTCGGGGAAAACCTGAAAGGGAATTTGAAAACAATTTCGTTAGACACCCGGACGATGCTCACCAATTTTTCATCAATTCGAAGTGTGATATCGCTTTAATGTAACGGTCGTTTTATTTAGAACTTTAAGGCTAAACTCCATGGAACGAATTATGTGACGAGTAACTGGCGAACGCCGCCCGACGGCGCGCTGGCTTTGCGCGCGACGTAGCAGTCACTGTGTTGATTCCACGCGCAGAGCAAAAGCCGCCGGGCAAAATTCGTTGGTTATTCGCAGCATATTCGTCCCATGCAGTTCAGCCTTAAATTGTTCTTGTTTTCTTGGTTCCGAAATCAGCAGATGTCGGGACGCCTGTCTGTGTGTGCAACTTTCTGCTGAAGGCAGTGCAGATTTGCCAAGCTTGTCTAATGTCTATGTGTTCATTGGGCTCCCCATGTAATGGGCTTTCCTTGTCTTATTTTTCTGGCTTTCCCAACAGTGCCGGCCGAGGCAGACTGCTGCGACGATGTGGACAGCGAGAGCGACTTCTCTTTCCCGAGAGGTGAACTGGACCCGTCGCAACCCTCCACCCAACCACGACATGAGGACCCGCAGCAGTGCCGGTTGTGCCCTTACCTCAGTCATAATGTGGGACATGTCACCGTTCACGAAGAGATTCACAAAAGGGAAGAGCCTTTGCGCTGCACTGTCTGTGAGAAAGCATTTCTTCAAAGCGGTCACTTAAGAAGTCACATGAAGACTCACACAGCTAACAAGTCATTTCGCTGCCCTGTCTGCCGGAGATTGTTTGCTGAAAGCAAATACTTACGAATTCATATGAGGACTCACACGAATGAAAAGCCATTCCGTTGTGAGGTTTGCCAGAAGGCATTTACACAAAGTGGTAATTTGGTGAGTCACAAACGGGTCCATACGGGGGAGAAACCATACCAGTGCAGTACCTGTGAGAGAGCATTTGCACAAAAATCCACCCTCTTAAGACACGAGAAAACCCACAATGGAGAGCGGAAACTTTTAAGTGGACACAATTTAAGTAGGCTTTAGAAGGATATGCTTGAATAAAGAATCTGCATTGTGTAGCAATATGTGGGAGTGATTTGTGCTGAAGGTTCTGTTTCACCGCGTGCTCCAGTGCCTTTTCAATGTTTAACATCGACGAGTGCAGAATAGACTACTTCCATAAAGCCCTGCATGCAACACGGCGCGCGTTGCACTCTGGGAACTAGTTGGCCAGGGAGGAGAGTGGCATGGTTTCGGTTTCGATCGACACGTCGACCAGAGATTACACACAGAGCGTGGACTATAAACGGCCATTATCTCATGTTTTCTGGTCCCGAGAGCGTCATTTGTGGTCTATAAACTAACCTAAATGGCCAGACCTCGAAGCTTTAGCACAAGCCCGAGACGTATATAGCTTCTCTTAACACATGCTTGTTCTATTTTTGTACTTGAGCCTTTTTGTTAGCGTTTCGAGGTATCTGGACGAGCCAGTGCTGGGAATCTCGACGCTGCGAAGCTCGGGGATCTTGCTTATGTACGAATCAACAGGCTGTAGCAAGCAATAAGTATGCATACATCGAGCTCGCGCCTTTACATTATATGTAGGGTGTGCATTTTCCGGTTTTAACCGAAAAACACCGATAAACATCCGTCGGTGACGAAAATATAAAATCGGTTAAAACCGAAAAACACCAGTGGTTGGATATTTTCGCCCTGGTTAAAACCGAAAAACACCGGTCGTTGCTAGTTTCCGACCTAGCGAAACCCTTTCCCCGTAGAGGTTCGTCAAACGTGTTATCTCGTGGATCCTGCATTCTTCCAGTGTTTATACATGGCTTGCAGGTGGCGTCCAGTCCGCCCTCTTTTCTGGGGGTCAAAAGCGTCTAGTGAACGCAGTGGACGCTAAGCTCTCATACGCCTTTCCCCTATTGTGTCTCCCATGGCCCCCTTTTGTGGAAAAATTAACACAGTGGAGGGTAGGCTCTCACGTGCCTTTTCCTCATTGTGTCTGGCCAAGTGATGTCGGTGCAAGCCATGTATTCAGAGGTTGCTGTGGTTCCTGGAAGACACTGCCAACGTCCGTGTCGTACAGGAGCGTGCGTTTTCATAATTGCGGGTTACGAACCGCAAGGAACGTGGTGCCATGAAGGCAGCACGTTCCTTGCGTGTAGATGCAAGCATAAAAGTATGCTTGCATCTACTATAATAACCAAGTGTTAGAAATAGTTGCTTCCTAGAGAAGAAGTGTATGAACTATGTGAATAAAATTGGAACTCTCCTTCTGTGATCAATCGCTTTGTTTTCACCGATATTCACCGATTTTAGCCTCGTCGTGAGACGTTCCACCGAAATACACCGGTGTTTTGAAAATAAATAAACACCGAAAAACATCCGCCGATTTTTCTCACAAATAAACACCGGAAAGTACACACCCTAATTATATGTTGTTGATCAGGAAGTTTGTTTGTTTCGTGCGTCCATAGAAGAAATATTACTTTTTGCAATTACTGTTTTCTTAATACGCCTGAGTACGCGAAGTAAAACTCGGAGGTGCCATTGAAAAGCTCAATTATAACACACTTCTTATCTCTTATCTGTACTGACCCGCAGCGCTGCACGAAGCGAAGTCCCCACCCACTTGCATTTTTACTAATATTCAACATCGCGTATGCACGTAAAGTTATCCTGCAATCGTATAGGCACATTCGCGCATACAAACCGTTTTAAGAAAGCAAAAGTCGAGCACTTGTGTGAAAAATGTTGCACCATTCGCCAGAAGTACGCCGGACGGGTATGAACCCCTATGCGGTGCGCCAAACGAACAAAATTATTCAAAGTGCATTTGACGGTTGCTAATGGCCATAATATTTTTCATGTGTTAGCTTTCTTCCTGCCTGAGTATGCCGCGATAATTTCGGACACACCGTTCAGGCACAGATCTTGGGCGTCAGTAAAAGCTCGTCCAAAAAGGCTTGTTAGGGCCTCCGTCGTAGCTAGCCCATCTCCGCGTTTGCGAAAACTTAATCTTCTATCAGCATAAAATTTGAGTGGGAGATATATGATGACACGAGGAAGACATCATAGTAACTTTGGTGCAGTAGTGAGGTCAAATTGATTGCGTTTCCTTAAAAGTTTACGCGTCAACGCTGGGCTCAACTTTGATACTCCTGTGAGAATGCGGCTTGCTTTTTGCCCAATGAAGTAACAAGAAGCGGACGTTTGGCAAACAAAATAGGTGAAAGGCTCCAGGTGAACAAATTTCAGTTCTACTTCACTGGTACTAGACGGGATTATTGAAATTGAACTCAAAGATGCACTCGTTAAGGTGACTAAGCCACGTCTTACTACGTTAGCATACGGACTCATATATCCGGTGTTTCGGGAACCAGAAAAAGTGCCCCGGCCTTCGTTTTGTATCGCTCGAGAATCAGTATATTGTACATTCGTAAAAAAGACAGATAATCGAAAACGCAAGCAGTGCGTTCGGTCGCGGCGTGATAGCATGAGATGAATCTGCTCAGTCGAAACCGAAACTGAGTGGCCAACTAGTTCCCAGAATGCACTGCATGGTATTTCGCCGCAATGGGGCGCGTCGGTTTTGGAAGAAGTCCATTAGAAGCAACTTTACCAGATGTAAACATTTTCAGCTGCTGCGATCGCCACTCCAAGGGCAACTGAAGTGCCGCTATCGCGATGTTTTTGGCTAATTGCCTTAAAAGGAAGGCTAAAAACACTTCTTAAAAAAAAAATAAAGAGGTGAATTTTGGCGTATTCTTATCCCGCGAATCTAAATAACACGTTTGTTTTACCCGAAGGTGTAACTAAAGAGCCACAAACAAAACCACGAAACTTTCAAGAGCCGCGGGAAGAAGGGGGGTGCGGGGGGGGGGGGGGGGGGGGGGACATATTTTTAGGGCAATAAACGAAACTCGTACTTTCAATGTACCCGAGTCAAAAGCAGT